GCAGTTTTGGCAGAAGAGGAAAACCTCCCCTCTTGTTGCTAATAGGATTTAATATACTTCAGTGTGCTGTAGGAGTCAAAATGTTTCAATTTCATTTCTGTTTCAAAAGAGTGAGAGTGCAGTGTGTGTAAATTGCTCTATGAAAATGAAAGGGGTTTTCTGTTTTCTTCCACAAAGTGATTAACTTTTCTATTGGTAATTCCAAACATAATTGAATTCAGTCTTGATATACAGGACGTCTCTTCAGAAACGTGCAGGTCAAATGAGATTTGATTTAGCTCCTTGCTTAGCTTGAATGAAAAGCTTGCTGCGTGTTATGGGACATTTAAGGAGATCTAACCCTTTAGGGGTGCATGTTGCTGATGCAGAGCTGCAAACGCATGAACTCATGTCAGTGCTAGGTTACAATGTCAGCAGTATATGACTTCCAGTTGCCATTTCTGCAGGGGAGCAGGCACTGCAGTGCAGGAGCATGGGATGAAAAGGATCTTCTGGATCTTTGAGTGCCCCGTTGCCAGGTATCACATCGTAAGCTCCAGTTTACGTTAGTGAGGTGTTTTCCCCGTCTCCAGCTCTTCCAAAACTTCACTGCTCTCCCATGCTAAGCAACCTCTCTAACTTCTAGTCCTCATTAGTTTATGGGAAGTTTATGCCAGTGTATTCTTAGACTATATTGCACTGAAGATCAGGCAGAAGTTTTCCTGCTTTGTGTGTCTCCAGTGTTTTGGTGCGTTTCCAGAAGGAGGTCATACCCTGTCAGCCTTGACTTTGCAAAGTTAAACCAGCCCACTTCTAATCTCCACTCTCACAATGCATTCTCTTTTCTTTACCCTTGTGTCTTTTCTCTGCACTTGTTCATATTTTCACTTAACTTTTCAAAATGTGGGTCACCAGAACTCTACACTCTTGTCCAGATGAGAATGTAGTGATATATAATGAAAACGGTATTTCCTGTCTTGACTGGCAGTATATGGTATGGCATACTTCTCTTTTGTATGGTGCATCCTGCTGGCATCCTTAATCACCTAATATACATATCAGGCTGCCTTTTTCTCAGTTGACAACTCAAGGTCCTCCAGTTCATAGCAAAAATAGCTTTGAATTGTGTGATCTTGCAATTAGTAATACGAAGTTTCATCCCATTTCTGTTGCTGTAGTTTATGACTGTTTTAGTCCCCAAGTGCATGCTTATGCGTTTAGTAATGTTGAATTTCATCCCATTTCTATTACTCCACTCCTCAAAATCACATGGTGCTCCCTTATGATATTCCAGCGTGCCTCCACGATGTTAATGCCTCCAAACTATAGCACAATCCTGAGGGATGTTCTAGATTTTGACAGCCTTACGTGGAATTTCAGTGGTCTTTTATGTTGCCATCCAAATTGTTACTCATCATAAGTCATGCCTGAGTGCCTTTTTCAGGGCATATAGTACTGAATCGGGGCCTCTTTCATGAGCGTTTATTTGCTCTCCCAGTCTTCCCCACTTCGTGTTGGTCATTGTCATGTATCTATCCATTGACTTCCAGAGTTGAATGGGAATATCCATGAGCTGAATTGGTCCTCAATATGTTTGGGTAAATAAGTGGCAACGTCACTGCTTTTGTTCTCATTTCCAATGGTAATTCAACCATAATCTGCAAAGCAAATGAAATAACTGCAGCAGTAATTGAATTTGCTAAGGCTTTTCTACCCCGTAATAAAATCACTTCTGCTCAAATCAGCTAGAGAGTAGCGAGCCCCTGGCCTTTGCATCCTCTCTGGATACTTGGGAATAAATGGGTTTGTGCTAAATTGCACCTTTTTAAAAATTCAGCTACAGAAAGGACCATTTTCATTTATTTTTCAATTGCCAAGTGGACATTCTAATATAAACCCCATATCCTTTTGTTTCAGAGCATGCAATGTGGCACATGCATTATACAAGTAATATACAACACATAAAACATACTTTCATAAAGAAAATAACAAATATTTAGCAAATGCACTTAATCTGTACTTAATCTAATTTGTTTAGCACCTGGTATTTTCTCTTTCTGGGTTGTATTGCATTGTCTATGGCCAGTGTGTTAATTTTTGTTAGCCCCACACTGAGTATAACACAATCAGTATTGATACAGAAATATCAAGACATGAACTGCTCTGTGATCATTATTAGTGTGATAGACTATCAGATTTGACAACACTGCTGCTGTGAGTAGTCTATGCTAAATCTGTGAAGTAATTCAAATACTTTAAGCAGGTGAAAACAAATGACAGTTGGCATCAGTATGGTGGCATATTTTAAGGACTGGGGTTTTTTTCCCACAGCTCTGAAGTAGAAAGCAAATTCTGTTATGGCTCAGGTCTGTGGTCAGTATGAAATCAGTTTGCACACCTAACCTGACTTCCCCCCCCCCTTATCCATAATGAAGCAGGAAGGCTCACTTGCTGGTAGACAGCCCTTTTTCACTGGGAAATGAGAGAGAAAGCACGGGAAGCATCATGCCTCATCCTCCACACAGAGCTGAGCTCGGAGCATGCAGGACCCGCAGGCAGCACCTGCCTCTCCCATGTTTCCTAACAAAGCAGACCCAGGAGTGCTGCAGCCTGAGCGCTCTCTGTGTTCCCCTGGAAAAGGCGCTGTTTGGCTATTCCCTTAATGCAGTGTGTTTGCCTCTGAGTGAGTGAGTGGGACACAGAGAGACGACCGAGCCACTTTCAGGAGCGCATTCGTTCAGGCTGGGTTTGTTAACGGTCCGTTCATTTTCCTCCATTGTGCCTGCAAGAGAAGGGTAAAACTAAGCTCAAGTACAAAACCCGGCATATGATACCTACATGCTTATATCCCCATAAATTATATGTTGTAATTGGGGTAAAAATTGTGTAGAAGTCAAAGGAAAAAGGAGTCAGATGTTCCAGATCAACGTTCCAACCCGTTACGTTGTTCACTTCTTATGTGGAGTGTATGCTAAATTAAATAATGACAGTGCAGTGTTGGATTATTTTGAATGAGGTAGAAGGACCCTGAGTTTGAAACTGGCTGAGCACCAATTCCAGCTTTTGTCCCTCTGTTCCCGGTGAAGCAGCTTGTGATCCTTAGCCTAGATAATGCTTCAAGTTCATAACCACTCACAAAACTGAGAAATGCTGACCTGATCATTCAGTTTTCAACTTAAGCAAGCATTTGCTTTTCTTCTATTTTATTCCCCTCTGAGCATCTCATTCCTGGAAGGAAATGAATCTTATGTGGTCCATATGATATTTTCCTAATAGGTTTTTTTCATGTCATAACAATTGATGGAAAATATTTGGTGGAGAAAGAAGGTAGAGTCTGTCAGGATGTTGCTAGTTTTCTGTAAATCAAAGCCAGGACCTGCAGAAAAACACATAGTGAAGAAAAGGCCTAGATAGATACTTATTTAGAAAACTTCGAATAAAAAGTCCCAGAATAAAGTTAAATTCAAATAATGTTGAAATCTTTTTTTTCTCCTTCGTTTTTAATCTTAAAAAAGAAACATTTTAGTCTTCCAAGTCAGACTTACGGTAATGTCTTAACCACAGCATGCCAAAGCTGTTAGGTTATTTTAAAGTTTTGGCCAGAATCTGGACGTTTGTGCAAAGTACTCCCTCTTCCAATACAAAACAAAACAGTTGCTCGAATATTCTTTGCAGTGCTGTAATTTTTAAGGCTTTTTTTTTTTTAATAAAAAAGAATAATTCCGTTTTTGTTGGAATTTTTCACAAGATTTTTCCTTGGTGTGCTGTAAACATCCACAGCCTTTTTTTGTGAAAGCCTTTTTCCATAGTTGTGTATGGGAGATAACGTCACACAGTGCAGTTTGATGCACAGGCGTGTAACTATCCAAAATGGTTCTGAGGGAGATAGGCATTAACAGGGGATTGCTGGTGGCCACTGGACACTTAAATTATGTCCTTCTAAAGACTCATAAATAATTTATTTTTTAGTGTAGTGAAGTAAAACCACAAATCCACTAACACTGTTCTGTGTCTTGCAGAAAATATGGGGCAGAAGGATAGAGGAAGGCAGCAGAAAATGAAGCCGTTCTGTTGTTAGAGCCAACTGGAAGCTCATTGGGAAAACTAAAAAGTTCCTTATGTCCACACAAACGCATGCCGTTACCCTGTGGGAAAGTGTTTGTTGGCATAAAGGACACTTGGAAATTAAATACAACCTCTAACGGCACAGCATTCTGTTTGTGATGCTCAGTTGCAGGCTTAGCTGTGCAAATTGTTGGTAGTAACTTGAACAAGCGTAGCACTATGTTTATTATTCAAGAGGAGCATATATTTGGTGTTGAGAAATAAAGCCTTTCTCAGGGTTACACCTAAAGAATGTGAATAACTAATGTATGTTTATTTTGTTGATGCCTCTTAAAGATCGGTTTCGTGGCTGCTTTCCTGGTGGCTTTTGCAACTTTTTTTGGAGATGTTGATGGTACTTAGTGGTGCTAAGGAGCAATATTACATTATGTTAAGAGCTGGACAAACCGATATTAAGTGCAGTACACATATCTTTATTTACCTGTCCGTCTTGGAGTATGTCCAATAGGAAGTATGCTAAAGCAAAAGTAAATCTCTCCACCAATGCATCTCATATATAAGCTCACCCACAGTTGAAACTTTGTAGCTATCAGCAAGAGAGTAAAGAAACCAATTTCCCTCTATGGAATGCTGTCAGTACTAGCACCTACACTGCAGAGGAGCAGACAGTCATTTTGACAATTACTCTAGGCACTTTCAGGGAAGGGTTAGCAATTCACTGGGTCACGTATTGATTAATTCCAGGCAGGTTGGGTTTTTTTCATAGCGTGTCCTGTGGGATAACCCAACTAATACATTTTCCAGTGTGTTATAGAGACCAAATGTAATCCATCTCGCAAAAAAAAAAAAGGGGGGGGGGGGTGAAAATTAGAACAACAGCCTCCCTTGCCAACAGAGTGACATCAGAAATGGTGTTTTTTAGCTAGGTTTAATTTTGGAGCTTGCTTATGTTGCTTTGAGTTTATTTGGGCAGTAGCAAGCATGGACCAAGTTCCTAAAAAGGAAAGCGTTGTTGAAAACTGCAGAAAAAAGATTATGCGAAGTGGAAGCCATCCAGCTGAGTATCTGTGCTGTTCTCTGCAATACACTGTGCCACTAAGGAAACCATTGAAAAAGCTTTTGAAGTCAAAAAGCTTTGACTGTGAAGCTTTAAATTTGTCCTTCTCAAATGGAAAACTCCATTTTAAAGGGACCTTTTGGTTAAGGTTATCCAGTGAGAATGCCTAGAATTATTTCCTTAAAACAGCACTTTGTAAACACCCTATGTTTAAGCGGCCTAATTCTCAGAAGTACCAGGCATCCACCAAGAAGATCCTCTGAAGGTGGTAGGACCTAGAATCACTCACCATCTTTGAAATCAGACCACCTGTACCGAGCTGTCTGAATGTAACCGTGATTGCTTCAGGCACCAGCTTTTAAAATGTTTGTTCTTTCGGCTGACAGTTGAACTTGCAAGTTTGCCCTGGTGCAGAGTTCAGGGCTGAGGAGTGAGAGACTCCTCATCCATCTCCCGGAGGCATGCAGTCCCCGCTGCCGTCTTCCAGCCAAAGTGTTGGGTCAACTCTTCTGTTGCTCCGGTGCTTTCTTTCCTCCCGTGGTTCTTTTTGTACACTGCTGCATTTCTTTTGCAGCAGAGTCAGCATCCTCATGCTGCATCATTTAATTTGTCCTGCTCTCAGTTCACACCTCTAGTCACCGCTTTGTAAGGTGAAACCGCTGGATTCCAGTTATTTCCAGAATCCTGCAAACCGCACACAATTCTCAGTGAACCATTTTCTACCTATTTAAAATTAAAATTGCTCGTGTGGAGGAGTCTAAGTTTAGTTTTGGGAGCTCACCCTTCCAGGCACGTGTCGTGGTTTAACACGTGTATGTGAGCAGATAGCAGCCATGTGTCTGCCAAAATTTTGTCTAACGTGGACACAATTTTGAGTGGATACGTTTGCTGTTGCTTTTTCAGGGTAATTTTCTCTCTTTTTCTCAAGAGGCAGCCAAATTCAGTTTCTTTGCCTATTGGAGCTGTCATTAGCTAATTACTAAGTCTTGTATTGAAGAAATAACTGTAAACACAGCAAGGAAGGAAAACAAAATACTTCTGTAATATGAACCTCTTCACTGTAGTTTCATGTCAGTGGTTTATGCTCTCCGTGGTATGCTGGTGTCTCAGAGCATGGGACTTATTTGTGTTTGGGCTCTTGTTTGTAGTTTGCCTGGTGTGTTACAGAAAGGAGACCGGAATAGCGGTGTGTGAAATACCAAAACAATGCTTTGTAATTTAACTGCTTGAAGGATGAATTGATAAACTGCAGGCAGTGCAGAACAGTCCCACGGGGAGGGTAAATGCAGGTTGTCTTCAAGGATGTTCTAAATCAGGTGAAGGATCTCGAGTGGCAGTTTGGGTCTCTAGTAACCCACAGAGGGACCTTTATCGGAAGCACAAAATAATGTTTAATTGAAAAATAACATGTCGATTCCTTCCAATGTTATTTTTAACTTACGTGTTTAATGATTGATTTCTTAAAATGTACTCGTAAGATCACATACTGTCACCTTGATCTTCTCATGTGGCTTCTAAGAAAACATTTCAGAGGAGTATCCTGGCATTTGGCGAGGGATATCACATAGGTTTAGAAGCTAAGGAGTTATTTAGGGCCAAATTTGTATCTCTGGATAGTAAGATCATTGTGTGGAAGACAAGGGGGGTTTGCCCACCTCATGTAGTGTGTGATGCTGAAATTCATACCGCGCCTCAATTTCCCACTTGTTAGAAGGGCCAGTAATGCGCCTTCTTTGTAAAGCTCTTGAGATCCCCTGATAAAATCCTAGTTATCTGTCGGGGGCTGCAAATGAAGTTAGGCCCCCAAAATTGTGAATTCCGTTGCAAATAAAGTTTGAATATATTATACAAAAATACGTGTTTTTTTCTTTCATACTTTGTGTATTTGATTTTATTATATAGCTCAATGGGAACTGAAAAATCCCTGTAGAGTGCTATTTAGAAACTGATTGTCAGATAAGATTCAGTTATTTTGATACAAAATAACTTCCTTCAGAGACTGCTTCGGTTCACTCAGCAGCATTTACAGTCATTTTTCAGAGGCATCACTTAAGAAAGTTGTATGCTGTCATCCTCTGCACGGTCCAAAGATTGACTTACATTGGGAATTACAAATTTTGAGACTAAAGTGGCTGTTGTTTCCTAATTGGTAGCTGCTTTGCCATTAATTTCATTAATGCTTTAAAGTGCCTCTTAAATGAATCACTGCCTGTTGTGACTGAGTTCCTTGAAAAGCCTTGTGAAAGAGTTTACAAATCACTTAAAATAAGTCAGCAGCGTCACTCTTGGAAGATGGTTTTTTTTAGGTGCTTCATAGGAAATTGGTATCTCAAAACTGGAGTTGGGAAATAGCCTTAACTAAAGGCCTAGCCAGCTAGCAAGTAAACAGGGCTAATCTGAACATTCCTATTTGTGACACAAACACTGAGATGGAAATCAGTACACATGTATGTTTTGAAATTATTCCTGTGTTTATAATAGTTACTCCTGTTACACAACTGAAACAAGCACTGTTAGCAAAGCATCCGCATTTTTTCAGTCCTTCAACGTAATAACCCAGATTTAGTCCGTTATAGAAAAAAGTAAAACCAGCTGTTAAATATGAGCACGAAGTTAATGAAAGATCTAGGCTGTGCTGTGTTTTTAAGGCTCATTATAATATATTATTCACCAAGAAAACTGAACATAGTGCGCATTCACTGAACGTATTAAGTGACCACGTGGTTCCAGTAACATGCTGTGAAGTACTCGTGGAAATGTTATTGTCCATCTCGGAGTATAGGGGAATTTCTGTATCTGCTTTGTCTTCGGCAGCCAAAATAGTGGACGTGGGTACTGTATATGCATGTGAGGTATGTAAGTTCGAGCACGACCGAGAAAGATCATCTGGTCTGAACCCAGAGATAATGCATTAATAAGGCAATAAAGTTATTTTGTATGATTTAGAGCATCTAGAATATAGAACCAGGCCGGCAACGTCTCTGCTCATCCCAATTTACTAATTATGACAGTATTTGTTATCGTTTACTTTAGGAATGACTATACCAGAAGAAGACGCTGATGTGGGACAAGGTAGTAAATATTGCCTCGTGGCAATAGGAAGGCTTCAGGTAATGCCAGTCTTTCCTTATACAAACTACTTCTGAAAGCGTAATCGGCGTTGTGGTTTAGTTGTAAAAGATTTGCACAAAGTTCTGGTACTAGACTGTAACTTCTAAAAATACTACAAAATACAAAGTGCCTCGATGTCGGTGTGCAGCCAGTGACTTATAGAATCACAGAATGGTTTGGGTTGGAAGGGACCTTAAAGATAATCTAGTTCCAGCCCCCCTGTCGTGGGCAGGACTTGTTTAGAACATGTCAACAGAGCAAAATGAAAATGTGATTTTGGTGCATTATGTGTATTTAACCCAACAACAGCGGCAAAGGTGCTCCTGGAGCATGAGCATGTAGAGACCTGCTATTCTCTAGGGTGCATAGGGCTGGGATATTCTAGATTGTGAGAAATGTGGGAGTACAGGTGCTGCAGATGGTAGGTTAAAGTGGCTCCCAAAGCCAGTGATATGCTGCTTGCTATTCTTTCATTCTTCTCTCTCTCTGGCTAGTCAACTACTTGAGAAACTGTGATTGCAGGAGTTACTCTGAAAATGGTAAAGATAAGGCAGCAAGAGGCACTTCACAAATAATAGGTTTATTCTCAGTGTGTACTGTAGTGTGCATTCAGATGTGATGATTCAGAGACAGCCGAGGGAACTGTGAGAATAAAATTTTACTTCCTTTTTGTCCAGACAGTTGCAACTGACGTTTTACATTTTCTTCCTTTGTCCGTTGCTGACGAGAGTTCTGAACAGGAGCTAGAGCAGTCGCGGTGAGTCTCCTTCACCGCAGCAGGGAGACTAATTTTTATCTTCCCAGTCTGGGAATTCTGCCATGGGTGAACGTGTTTGAGCCTCCTGCATGATCTCCTGTTGGCCCGCGCTCGTTGCCATCTGCTAGGATGGCATCGCTCCTTCTTACAAGGCAGAATGACCCTTTCGTTAGAGCACAGGTGCCAAACCCGTCTTACTTGAGGTGAACAGCCTGCACATTACTGCAAGTGTTAGCACTTCTGCAGAGTGTGTCTCCATTGCGATGGCAGAGCTACAGAAGTATTGCGTGATGTTTTTTAGGTTAATCATGCTTTTATAATAAAGGGTAATACATTCCAGTAATGGAGAGAAGGAAGTTACGGGGATTCATATGTTACAGCTGCCAAAGCAAGATGATTTCCGAGAAAATCACGTTAGTAACGTGTGGAGTGTCAAAACATCTGTTACGTTAGAAGAGCCACCAGGGTGTGTAAGGGAGGGCAAGAGGAGGCTCTGTGGATGGGTTTAATCACAAAGGAGTCAAGGTGCACAAACTAAAACTCTTCTGTAACAGCAAATTGCAATCTGGCATACAGTTAACTGGCTAATCTGCTTCAAGACAGCAAAAAAATGAGATTTTGCTCTTTTTGCATTGGGACCTTGTTAACAGAGATAGCTCTGGAAGTTGTAAGAAAAACAATGGTTTCGTTTGTAGCCCCGGTAGGAATGAATGGATATGAAGTGGCCTGATTGCACACATTTCAGGCAGAGAGCTGGAAATAGATCATTCTCTCTGATGAGATTTGAGGAGCATTTATAGGAGGACTGTGTTTTTTCATTATGAGCAGCCGCTTGCTGGCCGAATATCACCCACCTCAACCTGTAGAGAACTTTGTTCAGGTTCTCTGGGTGTTTCAGGTGAGGTTCATCTCAGCTGAAAGTTGAGTGTTTAGTCTGCGCTATTGGAGATGTCTACAGATAATGAGTTGGTCTCTTCTAGAGATTGACCTTCCTATCCTAAAATGGGTGGACTGAATTGTCCTCTGCAAGTCTCTTGTTCTTGATTGAAAAAGGTAGGGACCAAGATTCCTAACTTTAGTATGGTGCCACAAAGTGAGATGAATCTATCTGTACTTATATTGTTACTATATCCCTCCTTCTTGGGAACTTCTGGTGTATTTGTTTTCCTGCTGTGCTGGTAAGCCTAGGTAGGTGCCATGTGGTGAGATATTTGCCCTGTAAACTAGACTAAAGGCTGTTCTGTGTCATTTATCTGTGCTGTTGTTTTATTTATGACTTCCTTCAGTAGTTAGCACTCTGCCAACAGATTTTGTTCTTTAGCTACGTAATCAAATTTGACTTAAGGTGACTGTTCTGTGGACTAAATGCTGTGGACTTCATTGGTCGTAGGTAACCAGCTCTCCAGTGTGCATGGACATGAATGGCATGTCGGTCCCAACTGAGTTCTTGTCTAGGCACAACTCTGATGGAGTCATCACCTTCGTCGACCCAAGGTGCATCAGCGTCATTGGCTACCAGCCCCAGGTCAGTGAGTCGCTGTGAATGTGGAGATTGGTTAGAGCTAATGAAGAAGATTCTATTTGTGCATTAAAAATGAAAGCAGCAAAATGTGAAATATCTGTAGCTGATCATACATATGTCATGCGCTAAATGCTGTTCATTTTTCTTTACCATCCACACCTCTGTAAAATTTACAGTTTTCCCCTTTGTTATTTGGGGTATCTTTTTATACCTTTTAGATCCAATTAGAATTCTAACAGCAAGATGCTTTAAACCTTGCACAGCTTTCCAGTGAAGACATTTCTGTGGTAGAAAGTTAACAGTGCTTTGAGACAGTTTTAGTCCTATAGATCTTTAATTCTGCCAATCTATTGAACAATAAGCAAACATCATTTATAGCATCTATTTTCCTTTAGGCTTACATCTACTCCTCTGAATAGGAGGCTAGTCATGGAACTGAGTAGAATAGTAAATGAACTCCTGACTACCACAACTCTCCCTCGGATAACTCTTTAACAGTTGCAATTTAGAGGCAAAAATAATTACTTGCTCATTTGTTTTTCCCATTTATTTTGATTTTAGGTAGCTTTATAATAACTGTTTTTCCAAAAATTAGTGCCATAAAATGAACTGTAATACAGGATGTCAGTCTTTTCAAGACACCATTTCACAGGTGTGATTTTAAAAAAATCACTTAAAATTTGCTTGTAAATACATGTATCTACGCAACAGTACAAATATAATGTGCGACATGATGCCTACAAACCTTGTTTGTATGATTCATCCCCGATTAACTGAGTACTCCCATTAAGGGTGGTAGATCCAGTGTCTGCAAGGATCACTTGCAGATCTGCACGTGGATTTGTGTTGTGGTCTGGGTTTTTTACACAGCTTTATGTTTTATTCTAGGATCTTCTGGGGAAAGATATTTTAGAATTCTGCCATCCTGAAGATCAAAGCCATTTGAGGGAGAGTTTCCAACAGGTGCTGCGACCTGCTCCTTTTCTTCTGCCATTTATTTATTATTTAGTTCAGAGAAGTAGCTTTTATTTTTCATTTCAAGGTATTTTTCTGTTACGCAGAAGGAGTAGCAAGATACGAAACAATTTGTTGATCAGTTACTAATCAGTTAAGCTGCATAAAGGGTAGTTTAAACGGCAGCATCTGTTTGCTGTGTTTTCGGAAATAAGTCACATAGTTATAAATTTTGTTTTCTTTTTACAAAAAATTGAGTGTTCACTGCTGTTAGAGCTGTTTTGGAGATGCCTGTGTAGATCCCACTATGTTAAGCACTAACCGAAGTGGGCTGTTGATTTCAAAGTAGTTACACTCCTCTGTAATGCTGGATTATTTATGACCTAAATTCGCTGCTAGCATAGATTACATGCTTCATACTTTAATGGAGTTATACTGCTTTACATCAGTAGAGAATTTGGCCCTTCTCCCTGTTAGGAATTGAAATACAGACAGAAGTAATGAAAGAAATACTATGTATGGAAAGAGTTACTGATCTGGATTCATTTTTACAGTGGGCCACGTTTACATCAGCTGTATCAAAGGCATTTACTCCATTGTAGAGCTTACTGTTTCAAATTGATCTGGGACATACAGTAGGATTGCTTCCCCCAAGCCTTCTGCTTGTTGCTGGTCTTTTCAGCACCTTCCCAACTGCACTAGAAAGCGCGGTGTAGTATGTTTAACCGATTACTGAGGTTCAGGTGATCTAAGTCATTCCAGATTTTCTGACAACAGCCTATAGCTCAAGCAAGTTTTGTTGATCCATCTTGCATTGGATGCTGAGATGTATTTTCATCTGTGAAACGTGGATATGAAGTAACTTCTAAAATAATTTGTATAGCCAACTATTTATTCAGGCATGGCATGCAAAAGTGGAGCTTGAAAAGCCTCTCTGGGGAAAACAGCTAAATGCTGTTCTGTGTCCATAGAATAGATCATGAAACTGAGGTTAATGGTCTCTACAGAGTGTTTGAGATAGTGTAAGATATCAGTACTCTTGAGCTATTTCTCACCACCCCCTCCCTCAAGCGGAGACTACCAACCCCACTGCTGAGCTAGCAGAAAAGATCGTGTGAGCACTCTGCATCCACTTCAGTGTCCCTTGAATGGACTGAGTTCAAACAGCAGCTAAAGACCTTTTAAATTCAAGATGTTGATTCACAGGCAGGAGCCTGTAAGAGTTAGATGCTTGAAATAGGTCACCACACCCAGTCATCTTCTCTGCCCCACCTTGGTTGGGGGTTTGATGCTGCAGCTAAACCTACCTGATGGTTAGCTGTCACCAGGAGTCAGGTCCTACTTCTACTTCTCTCCTCCCTGTCCTCCTCCCTACCTTTCCTAGTGTCCTGATACTAGCACAGATGGACTTGCCGGGTAGGCTAGCTAAGGGACTAATCGCTTTTGCATGGGACTAGCTTTCAGCTGGTTCAGCTCCCTGAACTTCTGCCTGATTGCATCAGTGGCACAAGAATGCATATGCTGTTTTTCACTAATGCCCAAATGATTGATTCCACTAATTTATCCAAGAGACAATGACAGAGAGCTGCTGGATAATAACACGTCAAAACATCCGTCTCTGAAGTGATTGCCTGGGGCTCAGAAGGGCTGACTAACTAACATTCAAGTTAATAACTTGGTCCTCACTGCGTTCACCGAGAGTGAGATCAGATGGTGGGAGGCTGCTGGTGTATCCCTGAACTCAGTTGCTGGGGGCTTCACTGTCACTACTCACTATTAGGCATGTGCCCAAGTGATTCGCTGGATCAGGGACCTACATGATTTGCTTAAAGTCATACAAAAAGACAGCAGGAAAAAATGCAGATTAGAAGTGAAAGTTCCTGTTCACTCGACCTGTGTCCAATCTATGAAAATATTGTGCAGTTTCTTTAGTAGGCAATTCCTTTTGCGGTATATTTTTGTTCAGTACAGTAGCAGTGTGATTGGGGCTGTTATTTCAGTCATGCAATAAAAGACTGAAGTAAACAGTTAAGCTATGCACCAGGTGGTTTTTATTTCCAAAGAATCTAAGAAAGTAAAGGTTAAACATTAGCTTTGAAATTTTTTGTGCTATCTTGTTTGTCTGCACTGTTTTAAGACAGTTCAGGATTTTCCCACCAGCGATCTCTATGCTTTATATATTATTACAGAATTAGTGTTTGCTTAATTCAGACTTCAGGACAATAGATCCCTGCAGTTTGTTTTATTATTGTTAGTTTTGCCTTAGAAATCTTTTCATTAAAAGGGTAACCGTGATTTCCAATAGACTCTCTTTTTTTCTAAAACCCTCTGAAAACTTGACATTGCTGATTTGCTGACAGTATCAGAACCAGATTGGTGCGTAACAGAGGAGGGAGGAAGGGAGGGAGGGTTTTGCAGTTTTTGGTCAATTGCCAGTATCCATCTCAAAGCTTTTACTTCCTTGGGAAGATAAATTCATTCATCAGGGTGGGAAAATCAGGTCAGAATAAGATAGTCTCAAGGCCAAGATCAACAAATAGAGTTTAGTATCAAAGGATCCAGAATACAGCTATTTGATATCCAGTAGGATGCTATTCAGATTGGACGCTTTTACACAAGCTCTTTGTTTTTTACCCTGGGTGTGGTGGTAGAAAATTGCTGATAAAAGAATGTCACTCACTGAACTCAAACTACAAAAGCATTTAAAAAAAAAACCAGCAAAAGGCATTTACCTCATTATTATTTTGAACTTTCCTGAGCATTGCTAAAGCTTTTTGTGTCTTCTATTTGCATTCTTTCCATTTAATCCTGTATCCAGTTGATCAACTTGAAATAGAGACCTTTGGAAAAAAACAGGATAGGAGCATTTTTCCTAATCCAATTGCTTTTCGATCAAGACAGAGGGTAAATACTGGATTTTCTACTTTTAGAGAATACAGGCTGCAGATAGCTAATAAAAAATAAATTCCAGTGGATAAGGATTAAGAATCCACAACAAGATGTGGCATTTATTTGCAGTAGACCATCCCTTTCCTTCCCTGAGGCACCCCTGAGATAGCTTGGTGGAAAAGCAATAAAAAATAAGCACAGATAGCCCAGGTAAGTGCCGGCCGAATGACTTGAAACCGTGTAAGTTTTCTTCTGACTTAAACCAAGATTGTTAGATAACACATAAAATGCAGTTACAGTGCCAGTGTGCAAGCGTTGTTTTGAGCGTACTTCTTTAGCTGTCTGCTTCTTACTTCTCACTTGATGCCCAGCTATTGACTGCAACAAAACTTCAGCTAGCAAAGACAGAATTTGAACTGAGTATTGCCAGACATCTGAATTCTTAGTCATAAACAAATAGGCTGTCCAAGCAAAGAATTTGCTCTCCGTTTTCATTAATACTATTAAAATGGACAGTGGCTTATTGGTGTTCTCTCCATTCAAAGACTGGCTCACTCTTTCTTGTTTTGAAAGCCAGAAGCAAGTGTTTCCTGTTAGCACTTTGCCATCGTAGATGGTCTTATAATGCCTTTGGGGAAAAAACCAAAACAACCATGTATGGTTTCTAAAAAAAGCCATCTTAAGTATTATCCTAAATTTTGATGCTGATGTGGGCTTTGGTATATCACATGTATGAATTGTATAGCTAGGTATCCAAGCAGAAAAGCAGGTAGTCAACCTCAAAATGTTTTTTCTGGTGGGCTTTTGTTTCAGCTGCAATGTTTGGTTTATGGTTTACATATAAACATTTGAAAGATCCTCAGTTTGGTTTCTGTCAATCTCTCGTTAAGCGTTCCACATTAAAACCTTCTTAAAGCTTCCCTGTTGGGATAACAGCACAACCTGTTGATTGTCCTGAATCTGTATTCTTCTTATACGCAGGCTGGAAAATGGCATTTTATACAACAAAGCGTGAGGGTTTCATTCTGAAGGAAATAGCTGCAAATATGTATCAGATTTTGCTTATTCTCTTCAAATTAAGAATCTCCCTGATGTGTCCATAGCTTTCTGTAATTCAAGTTTAAAACACACCAGTTACTGCTGTTTACTATTCATTTGCACAGCAGGTAGCAATTAACCTCTCCAAATGGTTTTGCAGGTTGTGAAACTGAAGGGTCAAGTCCTGTCTGTGATGTATCGTTTTCGTACCAAAAACCGGGAGTGGATGCTGATCAGAACCAGCAGCTTCACATTTCAGAATCCCTATTCCGATGAGATTGAATACATCATCTGTACCAACACTAATGTAAAGTATGTGCCTTTCCAGATGCTCGCATATGTGGTTTTGAAAGAATTTAAGCATTGCTTTTTGCTGTAGCCTGTTTCTAGCTGCATTTGTTTCTCTATAACAGCACAGTCTGTAACAGGGTTTTTCTGCATCATGAGATCTCACAGCGTAGCTGTTTCTCTGTGTCCTTATCCTGTGATGCTTCCAGGGCCTGGCTGCACTGGGGGAGAAACGTCACTTACTTGCTATGTCATTAGACAAGCCCATTGATCTCAGTCCAGGCTGCCTTAAACTAGCACAGAGCTTCCAGCAGCAGCCCAGCTGTCCTGATAGTGGAGGAAGGTTAGCCTGATTCCTAAGCCAAAGAAAAAATTGCGTGTCCGTGTTCACTGTGATCATACCATTCCGTAGTCCTGGGCATCTTCTCCTTGAGCTGCGTCTACTCTTATGGCCTATGAAAGCTGGCAAAATTATTTCCTAGTAGGCTTGAGTGGGAAGGGTTCCTCAGTTAAGATCTGGTGGAATATCCTGAGGTATGGGGACAGATCCAACCCCTTATCTTAAGAGGGAAATTAAATCATCCTGTCTTTGAATTAATATTTTCAAAAATCTGTCATTGGACCTCTTAGGATGAGGTCACCCTAGGACTATCGTGGAGGTTTGTCACTGTGTAACTGAGCAGAGATGCTTTTGGAGCCTCCTGAGTTCTGAGCCAGTAACTGCAGAAGCTGATCTGGCCTTGATAAAGCCATCGCTTTATAGTGTGGGGCTTTTTATAAATATTTCTTCTTTCCAATATAAACTTAATCTATTTCTAAAACAAAATCTGCTTCTGGTCTGACCAAAGATTTTTTGCCAAGTTTTTAGCTCAGAGGAAATTATTGATTTTAAGATCTCAACCTGTTAGATTGTATAATGGAAATGCTGAACGAGCAGTCTGCTAGTGGAGGTGCATGCTGAGAGCTCTCCACTTGCAAAACCAAACCCCTGGGGCTTCAGCATTTGAACTTAGAAAGCTAGTAAATGTCTTTGCGTGTTCCTTAACTTGCTCCTTTGGACGTGACACATACCTGGACTAGAAGGGCTGTGTTTTCACTCACTTGAAATCCACCATCACAATCGTTTTGATCAGTTTTTTCTGCATACCCAAAAAGTTGGGCCTACTGAATAGTTAAGCTCATTGAAAACAAGCAAATGTGTCTTGAAATCAGACAGCTGAAGATCTCCCTGTCTGCACCGTGCATCAAAATAGATATTTCCACATTTCTGCTGTCCCATATTTCTTTTCCAGATAATTTGTATATGCAAAAACAGGCCTGCGAAACAAAAAGCGACTTCTGAAATCTGTCCCAGGCTGGCTTAATTGTGCTTTGTTCCCAAGAGTCCACAGATCAAAAAGTGGGGTTGTGGACTTATGTTGTGTTGGCTCTGGGAATGTTTTTTTCCAGGCCTCCACTATACTGTTCAGTTTGGCATCCCAGCACTTACTGTGATGAATAGGACTGTGCCAGCTTCTGGCTCTTGTTATCTCTCTCTTGCTAGGTTTGAATAACAACCCAGAAATGCTGACCTAATATGGAAGTTGCCTGCTGCTACTTTGACAGAGGATGGTCCCTCTTTCCTGTCATGTAGAAAATGTTCTAGTCTTATGGCAAGATACAACCCATTATACGTCTGCTTTTGAATAGTAAAAAGAATGCATTATTCAAACTGTTTTCTGTTTCCCCCCCTGTTCTCTCCCACTTCTCAGACAGATTTCCAAAGAGGGCTTACTGTAATGTATTGCTGTTCCTGCCTGTTTCTGGATATTTTTTTTTTTTTTTTTTTCACATTTGGGGTCATGTTTTGACTTCTGATTTCCTAGATGCCTTGGGGAGTCGTACGTCATGTTAACTGTTGATTTCCACCTCCTCATTCAGCTCCTGCTGGGGCTAGACGTTCGGCACTGACCCCAGTGCACGTGGCCGTCTTTACGTGTCGGTGGAAGTATCGGATGCTCTGGGTCCAGCAAAGTGCCTCACATGGAGAACAAGCAGGGGTGCCTTCCACTGCACTGTCGTAGGCAGTTCTGCACAAGAGACAAATTTTGATTTGCTGTCGCTGTGATAACCTAGACAGCTCCATAAAATACAGGTTTGAGGCAGTTACAAATTCATCATGAAGCTGTGAAGACAATGTAGCCAAAAGTTCTAGGTTTAAATCAGTTTTTAACTAAGGATAGTTTAAAGCTGCAGTACGTACATCTGTGTGTGTCTGTTAACAGAATAGCTCTCATTTTGCGTTGGTCAGTGAACAGCGTTTTCCCAAAAGACTGTAGAGGGCAGTGGTGGTTCCAGTTGTGGAGGGATTAATTGATTATTTTTTTGTTTTGGTTGTTTTGGGTTTTTTCTTCTTTTTTTTTTTTTTTTTTTAAAGGTACTCCTTTGGAGCTTCAGTCAACTTTTCAAACTTGCTTGTGGTGCGGAAGGGTAACGAAACATTAGGTTCAAATGTTCACTTAGTTCCTTGCAAAAAAAGAAAAGAAAACTTCTCTCCATTTCACTTGGGTGTAGTCATCCAAGAGAAACTTCCTGGAGAAATGAAGCATTTAACGATTAGCATTTGTGCTGGGTTTGGCTGAAAAGAAGAGTTCCCCCATTTGACCACATCTTCCTGTGTAGTTGGGACTGTTTGATTTCCAAAAAGAAATAATTGTTGTGATCAATGTTTGTTTAACATACACATAGAGCAGCATTTGAATAAAATAATCTGCCATGGTGATAGATAAAACTATATAAAAGTCTTCGTATACATAGAAGAAAGATAGTTTTCTGACTTTTAGGGCAATTTTGATGTTTCATTTTTGTAAGCCCCGAAGTCCTATGTTGCACTGTGTGCATTCAGGACAACTGCAGGATTCATAAGTCTCAAGAGTCTTGTCTCGGAGTGAGCTGGCACAGGTCGCTGCTGGAGGCAGCCTGTCAGATGAATCAGCCCGCGCTTGTGGGAAAGATACTTTCTGTTTCGGATTCTCATGGGCCAAAATACTGAAGAGATCAACTATTCTGATAAAATTCCAGTCTGTGGTAGTGGTGCTAAAGACTTACTTTCTCATGATCCCTGTGCCATCTGTGGGCTATCTGATCCCTCAAGGCCAGTGTAAGACAGACCCTTTCACAGGGGTGACTTTGAAACTGTAGGCTAAAAGAGGGAGATTTTGAGAGTTTCTGAAAGAGGATTTTACAACGGCAGCCCCAAGGCTTTTATTACTCCCTTTTTGTCCAAACCAGACACAGGAAGCACGTGTGCCTGTATTATACAAAAATAGCTTGGTAGCGATACAGTAGTATTGTTTCTCTCCCACCATAGAAACTGTTCATTTTAAAGTTCAAATCCTTTTTTGGTTACTCTGATGCCTGGAAAAGGAACAGGTGACTTCAGTGTTTATAAAAAGAGATTAATTTGGCTGAAATCCTCTCCGATGTCAAAGGAACTTTCACAGAATCTTCCCTTTTCCTCCAAATACATTTACTGAAGTAAATCTGAATTAACTATCAAAACCTTCAGATTCGCTTAACCATTCCTTGTTCAAGCCAAGGGCTGTCCCAGTTTTATACCGAATCTGTGGGTGAGCCAGGATTTCCTGCAGTATAGGCAGAGTCCTCTGTTGACCCAGACAATACCTTACTGGCTATGTTAGGTATCCTGTAGAGCCAGGAAATTTCTCTTTCAGCTGTGAAACTGAAATTGAAATGAAGGATAGTTTGGGTTTTGGCTGGAAACTCAGACGGCAATTTGAGTTTTGCCCAAACTGGTAATAAGCTCTGGTTCTGTATCACCTTTACAAAAACAATCTAGCAATTGGGTGACTGAAGGGACCTGCCTGAGTTGACTGTTCAGTCAAAAGGGCTGGTTAGGTGGCAAGGTCCGAAGCAACCACGACAGCAGCGCTCAGCTCTCCCTGATCGGCCGGTCCATGAATTGCTGCACAGTTTCTTTCAGGTTTCAAGCATCATTTGAACAGTAGCAGCAAACAGCAGCAGAAGATGCTAACCTGGCTTTACACTTCAGTCTTAATTAAGTGCAGCGTAGCATTTGGGTTTTATAGGAAATGGGTTTGGGAGGTTGTTCCCAAAGTTCAGTGCTGTTAACACAATGTGGTATTTATATTGTACTGCAGCTTAATGAGCATTAGAGATAAAAGGTAGAGAAGGGCGAAGGAGCACTAAGTTAGAAGTGCCTACAAAACAAATAACTAGTAAGTATGCTGTTTTGTTTGGCTCATTTGTATGTATATGGCTGAATCAAGAAAACATACTTTATACGGAACAGAAGAGACCTAATGTGCTGTTTATTGACACATGCACCAAGTCATTCGTAGTAAAAACAAATGAAACAGTGTAATTAGCTTTCACGTTAACAACAGGATTTAATGGTGTTTATTGTCCGCGGGGTGGTATTTAGAAAAACTTCCCCATAGATTTGCCATGATTAAATTCCCTCCTATAGTTCTGTTGGAAAAGTATGCATTTTATGCTTGTGAACAAAGAATTTCTTTGCATTCCAGAGGTAATTTTTAGGAATTTTCTGTTGGCTAAAGTAATGTGGAAAATCCATGGCGCTCCAATGACCTAGAGGACTGACTTTTCTTGCATGTTACTCATAGCACAGAAGTGATTCCGTGCATTATGTGTTCGTACACCATAAGGCTAGCAGAAGGCTTTTGGCCATCTACTCTGATCTTCTGTTTGTTGCGGGTCACAGATTTTTGTCCAATTTGCCATGGAGCCTAGTAACTGGTGTCTGAGCAAAGTGTCTTCTGGAAAAGCATCAAGGGATGGAAAAATCTGTTATGTATTTCAGTAGCTTGTTTGAGGAGTCTCTCACATTCCCATCAGTTTGTGCCTAATTTGTCATTTGACTTTGTCTGCAAGTTTGTCTCTCAGTCCCTAGACATTTGAATCTATACAGTTCAAAATTTAAAAGAAGATTTGGATAAAAATCTGAAATTCAAGCCTGTGGCCAAAAATGTATCCTAATTTTCCAGAGTTTCAAATCCATGATCTTGCTATTTTGTAAAATCTCATCTATTACCACCTGTCACATTCTAGTGTCTCTCTGGGGGAAAACCCACGTGGTGTGTAATTCCTGCCCGTTAGGTGATTTCTCCTTCAGAAAGAGACCAGAAGCATACAGAAACTGTGGCCACTGTCAAGTATCATTTGCCACGCATCAAGCTTACTTTCTTGTCAGTCCAACTCCAATCTTATCCTAATCTCTGAGCTTTAGCATAATTTGGGGGTGTTTATATCTTCTTTGCTAACTAAGCAAAGAGCCTCACAGCGTATTATCTCTGTGATAATCCCTGCGCATCCTCAGGCCAGAAGTAGTCTCGCTAATTGTGACCAAGCGACAGAAAACAACTATTAATGGAAGGTGCAAAACATTTAGATAATTTTGCAGCTGCTGAGTATTTCTGTCATTACACAGGCAGTCTTCCTTGAGATGCTGCAATGCCAGCAAGCTCCCAGCTTCACCCTAGAGACTGATTCAGTGCCCTTCGTGGTATTGGCCCATGCCAGAGCTAGGGACTCTGCCTTCTCCATGTCAGTGATGCTTCTTCAGACAAGGGCCACGGCGGAGCCTTTCCTTTTACAGGGAAATCTCAAGTTGTTGTGCCTGCGCGTCAGCTGGCCCGTTGGCTGCAAGCTGCTTTCAACACAGAGTTGTGAAGTGAAGGTGATGCTGTGGCCATGCTGTTCAGGGCTGTTGTTTGATCAGGCTCCAGCCTGGGCACAGCTCAAACCCAGCGCTGTGCTGGCAAGATCATGTGGCTCTCGCGCTCTGCCGTCCCAGCTCGGCGTTGGGACAGAGCCAACAGTCACACAAACCTATGCTCAGACAAGCGAGGTTCCTAATGCCCCAACGTGTGGATGGCGTAAGCCCAAACAAGAAAGCATAAGTTCACATTTTAATGGTAAAATTCTGGTCTTACTGCATCAGTAGCACTTTCGCCTTTCATTTCCAAAGGATTGGGTTTTATTTCTCATAATCTGTAACTGCACAGTGGCTTTTTGTGTAGAAGTTGTTTTGTTACAGTAACTTCAAAATTTCCAATAGCAACAATTAATAGAACTGTCTCTGATTATTTTTTTTTTTTAAATTAGGGGCTTTGAATTTCTGTCCTTTCAGAATTAAAAAAGCAAGTGAAGAACTGGATTCAGAAGATCACTGTGCTAGATATATTACAACTATATAAAAGATCTGCACATTTTTATAAATAGGCAATATTTGCACATGTAGAATGTGAACATGCCTGACTTACCACCACTTGCACGATGTCCTTACAGGTCACCCGTCGGTTAATTCTCATGACTTCCGATGATTTTATCTGTTGATATTGGCTAATTGTTGTAGTTAAGTAACAGCTCCTGGCACGAAACACAAATCAAGTGCATTTCAAGGATCTGCAGAGTTTTCAACACTAAAGTTCTTCATTCTGGCATATGGCCTGTAACATTTATTAGCTCTGGCAGTTTCTTTTGAAGTATTTTTCTATTGCTGCTGCACATTTAATTTTTCCTAAATTCATATAATTGGATTAAGGCTATTACTTCCAGTGATTTTTATCTCATTTAAACAACAGATATTTTTTGTTCAGTTCTGATTAGCATGAAAAGGAGACTTGTGTTTTCTGTGGCATTTGTCAACACAAATTGATTTTATGTAATGTCTTGATTTTATATAGTAGCACAAGCAATTTATTTCTGGACATTCACTGCCTTAAAAGCTTTCAAAAATTGAATACAATCTGGACTTGGGTCCTGAGGAGAGTAGAACCAAAGCATGTTAAATAGGTTTTATTACAAAGAAGGATTTATATGCGGTTCCTTCTAGCTCAACAGGTTGTTCCATTTGGTCTGACATGCTTCAGACAGAGCTGCGATCACTTTTTCTTATTGACTGGCATAATTCTGCATTAATGTTACTGGAGGTTTCCTGTTTACTTCAGTAGGATCAGTGAAGGGGTCTGGTATATTCATCGTTATCATGAGGAAGACATTCTTGGTGTCTTAGTAGTGAATTCTTAAATCCTTTATAAGGAGGTTGTATTCCATCCTCTATTACTTACCCACCTACATTTCTGGGCTACTACAGCAAAACTCTTCATGTGCCCTGTTACATTCCTGTGGTGCAAGCTTTCTCAAATGAGAAAGCTTTAAAAACAGATGAATCTCACAGTGAAGGATTTACTAAATCATCTGAGAGATGTTTCACTTGGAGTATAAAATAGGAGACCATGGCTGTTCCTTTTTGTTTCTGAATTGGTTTTTGTAACGAAGTCATTTTGTCTCCTTTGCAGACAACTTCAGCAGCAGCAAGCAGAACTTGAAGTACATCAAAGAGATGGGCTGTCATCCTATGACTTATCTCAGGTGAAATTTCTCAAGTTTTTATTTTTGTGCCTGTGATCTTTTAAAACGTAAAGCAATGGCAGATTTCAGCAAAATTAAAAATACATTGTGACTGTCCCTGAATTCCTTTTTGGCAAATACGATGGAGGGAGTTACCTTCCTCTGTGTATCTCAACAGGTGCCTGTTCCAAGTATACCAGCTAACGTTCATGAGGGTGGAAAATCTGTGGAAAAGCCTGATGCTATCTTCTCCCAAGAGAGAGATCCTAGATTTGCTGAGATGTTTGCTGGAATAACTGCTTGTAAGTGAATGTCTCTGATGTTTAATTTTTAATACTGTGTTAAGCTTGGTTACATGATGTGGAGCACAGCTTTGGAAGAATGAAGAGAAACTACAACGTGGCAGAGAAATTTCCAAGCAACATCAGTCTTCAGGAGGTTTCCTAGAATTTGCCCGTAGTTGATATTTCCCCTGAAGATGATGAGGAGTAAATTCAAGGAGGGAAGGACAGCTTTCGTGTCACCAGAGCTACCTATTTTTGATTCTCTTTTCATTTTACAGGGGCACCTTAGGCAGTGTTCGTAGATACTAAACATACTGAGCAGAACTTGCCATTTCTAAGTATATATTTTCTTTCTTAAACAGCAGATGAGAGTTCGTCTCTCTGAATAGACATGGATTAAGAAAGTTACCATGTAGTCTTAAGATAGGCCTGCAGTTTTTTATCAAACCACCAGCTTTTGCATTGATGCTTTCAGAGGTATATGCTGCCTTGAAGTGTAGTAATATACTTGTTTTCTGGTCAGTTGAGGCATCTCCAGTCACGGTGAGTCCTTGCTCTTTTTCCCACAACTTTTGAACTTGTCGGCAAGTTCTTATAAGAGTGATAGGAGTCTCAGAAATAGTATGTTCTTCTATATTTTGTGAAAATTACTGTGAGGACAGAGTCCTTACTGAGTGCCATCACCGAAGGATTTCCCAGCCCTGTTCTAAGAGGTAGCAGCCACCTTGTCAGTTGGACAGACATAGCTGACTCAAACTAGCCCCAACCTATGCTGCCTGTTGCCCTAACAGACAGAAGTCATTGAGAAGACTGGCAGCTGAAGGGGTCATCCGAAATAGATCTGTAGGAAACCAGGCTCATTAATTCCACTGCTCGTGGAAGAACTCGTTAATTGTTTATTGTTCTTAACTGTCCTCACTGAAAAAGAGAAGTTTTTACATTTGTTTTAAATAAATCAACGTGCGTGTCACGCAGCGCATGAAGGAAACAACCCACAGGGTTTGACTCCAGGGGTGTTGGGAGATGACCTCACTGCATTGGTTTCTTATGTCTGGCTTGGCCTTTTCAAATGGAGAAAGCATTGTAACTGCAGGGTAGACTTGACATTCTGTCCTCCTGTTGCTAGGACTTCTCTGTTATTCCTGTTCATCCTTGTCTGTCTACTCTAACAGTGAAGTCAACAGCTGAGGCCATAAAAGGGGTCCATTAGAAGGTAGCAAGACTCCAACCCTAAACACCGGATTATGTTTTTCCAAGCAAGAACATCTTGCTTTTTGGCTGCCTTATTGGCTCTTTTTCAGGCAGCTCTCAACTGTTTGTGGGGAGGGGTTAGGGTTAAGGGTCTAGCAAGCTGTGAGGTAGCTGGGAGGTTATGTTCTTGGAAATGCCGTTTCTCTTTTCATTCTTATCAATTTACAGGCTATGCTTTTTTTGGGACATTCACCCTGTCTGAATTTCTCATGGGAGCTGTGATCAAGGTCTTCTCTGAATGATAAAAAGAGATGGTTCGCAGTTAGAGATGAGATACGCTGTCCAAAACCAATATTGACAAACCTGCATGCTGCCTGCAAGACATTTGCATTATGTTGATATCCGATCTCATTCTCTGCTACATTCTGTAAAAATACAGGTTTGACATAGGGAGATTGTTGCCATAATTGCATGCAGTGGCCACACATAATTAAAAAACAAAAGTGGGGAGAGGAAGCCTGGCTTCAACCGATTCATGCAAGTGCTTTGAAGCACGGGATGATGCGGTTCTTACAGAGATCTTCTTCATTCTACAGGCAGAAACAATGGTCCTGCTGGGAGAAGGGCATATCATTGACCAGTACAGAGATGGGGTTTAGAGAGAAACAGGTCTAAGGATGCAGGTAAAACACCAAAACAAAATAGGTTTTCAGTGCTGTACCAAAGGTGAGAGCAGAGAATTAGTGCATTAAGTCCTCAGTGGGAATGCAGCTGGGAGAGATGAGGGCCAGATTCAGAGGCTAAAGAGCATTCGTTGTAACCCAGGAAAGAGATTTTAAAGCCGATTTAGCCGCTTGCGATTAGTTTAGCTGTTCCCTTTGTCTTGGCCTCATCCTGCGGCACAGACCCTGGTAGCTGCCATGGCAACTCTGCTCCGCTTGAGGAATTCCAGTTCATTTAGGGCACTCTCAATTTTGCTGGTGAAGTGTTCTCAAATATCTAAAGTACCAGCAGGATTTTGGCTCAGTCTCTTCCAACCCTGAGAGTTTGGTATCCCTGTAAAGGGTGGCCTTAGAAAATGGGACATCTCATGCAAGAATGACATTACTGCAAAAAAGGGCATAATCATCTGTCCTTCTCAGAGATATCCCAACCCATTCTCAATTCTTCCTACTACATACTCAACCTTCTCTAGGCCTTGTCCCCGTTTCTCTTTTTCTTTTTTTATATCAGAGCATAGGTTTGCAGCCCAGACTCGGTGTCTGTGCTGGGCAATATATCTAGCCAGTGAGGAATTTCTACAAATTTCTACATTACAGAGGAAAAGCAATGACAGCTGGCATCAGTGGCATGCACGCTCCTTCTCCGAGGCTCCCGTGAGGTAATTTGAGGTGACTTTTTCCTTTGGGAAGGCGAGCTTAGATTCTTGTTAGGAACATAATGTAAGAAGAACTTGGGTAACAGAGAAACTGCTGTGTGTTGGAGGCCTTTGGTGAGCCACACTCACAAGGTCTCTAAAAGCTAGGGAAAACTAAAAAATACTTCTATTACTTGTGAGTTGAGCGGGCCTTTTGTTCAGGAGAGCATCTTGTGAAATGAGTGGGAATCTGAAAAGAGCAAAGGGGAAAATGAGGAGGCAGACTTGATTTCTAGGCCTGTCAGAGGTGCATAGCAACAAATGGTTGCAAAGCCATCAGTGAGTTGCGGGGTGTTTTGCGCTTGCTGGTAGTAAGGCAAGATGGGGAAAGGGAATAAAGGGTGGTGGAGCAGACCTTTAAATTATTTTAAGAAAAGTAGTAGCGGTGAGGTTTCCCTGGGCTTTGGATTAATCCAGTGCCAGAAAATTAAATTAAGGGACCAAATGGCACTGTTCACCCAGTCTCGTTTCATTTCAATTAGAGCTTGATCTCCAGTTGCCACATTAAGAGTAGACTATAAAAGTTAATGGCATCTCTGTGTGTGTTATTCACTACGGTAGTTGTCTTACACCCCACTGGGATGCTTGCATCCTATTTCATGGCTCCCTCAAGCCACATATAGGACAGCAAAATCCATAAGAGACCAGTGTTTTGCCTTGCCACAGCTCAGGTGCCCAAGTCTTGCAGACACTCAGAAGCAGAGTGCCTCCAGCCACCTGTGAGATTGAAATGCAGGTAGGGGCTGCAGGATCACCCAGGTTTGCAAGTAGTCACCCTGAGATCTGCAGGCATGCCACCAGGCTGCCTGGGAGTGTCGGGTGCTCCTCTCCGGCTGTCCTGGAGGGAAGCAGACTGTCAGCTGGTTAGGAGAGGGGCTCTTTGACACCGTTCCCTGGGCCGTTTAACCCAGCGGGGTGTGGGCCCTCAGCTGCTACCTCAGTGCAAACAGGCTGCGATAACAGCAGCGGCCCTGGAGGGCTTCTCCTGGTGCCAGCAACGTACCCTCACCTGAGGCCACCCCCAGGTAGCCACAGAGGTGCACACGCATCAGACCTTTTTCAGACCAGGCTTGTTTCATGTGGCATTCCTCCATTCCCTCGGGCAGACTCTCCCATCATTCTTCCAGAAAACCTTTGTTCCCCTTCCCAGTCTGTAGCTGGGACCCATGCACCCATCACTCCCTGCTTCGGCCAGAGCCGCTCCCTCCCGTTCCCCCTCCTGCCTGCATGGTCAGGAGCAGCTTCCAGTGGGCACAGAGAAGGTCCAGGCTGCGTGGCCGGAGGGCACATACCAGTGTTATGTTCCATGCAAACAATAGCATTAATGAGGTACATGCTGCCAAGGTGGTATGAAGTAGACACAAACCAGCTGTGCCTCTCGTTTCGTACTGAATTGTCACATAGCCCTTTTGGGTCATTCTTAATGTGTTCCACAGGGCTTCCTCATAAAAAAAAATATACATTGCAATTCTCATTAAACAATTTTGCCTTCATTTTCTCATCCCCTAAACTTTTTTCTTCCTGTGATTTGCTTTTCTTTTGTAGCAGATAAAAAAATGATGGCCTCAGCATCCACAGCAGGAAACCAGCAGCTTTACTCACAGGGAAGCCCATTTCAGCCAGGACATTCAGGAAAGACTTTCAGGTACTGTAGTCCAGATCCTGAACGTATCAGCTTCTCTCTGATAGTGGGGGACTGTTCCTCTTCAATCTAGTGGAAAAAAAACCCAACCTAAGATGCAAGGGCTTTCTTTACATGAATGAACTTTGCTTTGTGTACACTTCACTCCTACGTGATGTCTCAGCCCTTAGAGTAGGCTTACAAGCTGAGACGATTTGGATATCTCTGTTAAAAATAGTGGCTGGTAAGTAGATACTTGTTGCTGTGATGATGTAATTGGAAGAAAGGTAAGAAGCAGCAACACATCATGAAGGGAAATAAATCTGAGAGGTAATGGGGCAGACTCAGAGTTCTGAGGAACATTCAACCAAGCTAGGAAGGTGCAAAGATTTGTTCTGCACTTACAGCTGTCAGGACTTCTGCAGGCTGCCTTGAAGGGCATCAGTGTGGACACCTTATTAAAGGGAACAGAGGGATGCTTCATCCATAGTCCCTGGTGAGGGCTGGGACACGGGCATGGAATAGTTTTCTAAGGCAGCTTCCAAATAGACATAAGGTGGTCATCTGGCATTTTCGAGGCATTTTTGAGTTATTCAAAGTGCGTGTTGTTGTCTACCAGCTGGCAATACAGATTTGGCTAATCTGAAGTTTAAGAGTTTGCTTTCATTTCCAGTCACTTTTTGAGAGTGTGGTAACAGTGATTATATTTACCTTAGTGGCTTTCGTATCACCGTTCTGGGACTGTCATACTGGAGTTTCATTCTCCTGTTTTAGACCGACCAAGGTTGTGAATGTGAAGGAACAGCTATGCAGAGGCTATCAGTTCCAGGAATTAGAAAACAACTGCAAACAATAATTTTATTTAAACCAATGTGTTCCTAAAATTAAAATTGCTAATAATCTCAGTGGGGAGAAATAAAATCCCTGTGGGTGAGTTTTGTCAAATTAAAACCAAGAATAACTTGGGGGGGATATGACAGTAAATTAAAATGTCTTTTAATTGGATATTGTATATTACTGGATGGCTGACTTGCCATCTTGGGGTTTGGCGTATGTTTTGTTCATTTTCTTTGTTAAATCCTCATGTTTAACTATAGCTTTTTCCCTGCTGCTGTTCTATTACATCAAGTGATGACACATCTGCCAGCATTTCCACCCTCAATGAACTGTCCTCCTTGAATGCTCTCCAGGCTGGTCCATTCAGTCACTGAGCCCGGGCAGCCTTTAGGCACTATTTTGCAGAATCCTGGTTTCAAAGTCCATATTCCAGATACGGTCTAAGCCCCTTGGACGATGGCACTTGCCAGTCCAGCTGGGAAGGTGTTGGCAGTAAGGCCAGCCCTCCCCAGCAGGTGTTGTGTGCTTCCGAGTTCAGCCAGATTTAGATCGACTTTCTGGTCCACATTTCCCTCTTTGGAGACTCTGTGGTAGTAAAAAATAAAAATAAAATAAAAAAAAATAGAAAACAAACTCTACAAAGCATTTCTAAACACACACTTTGCTTTTAGGTGGCTTAAGAAAGAATAACTGCTCCCATATTCAAATGCCTGCCACGTTTTGCTTACCACTCTGGGAGGGATTTTGTCAGCCTTCTCAGAGGAATCAGATTCCTGCTTCCTCTCTGCTCAGCCTTGTTTACTTCTTTTCCCAGTCTGCTCTCTTCTTTCTCTGTAAGATTCTGAAAATAGACAATAGGGAAGGGATTGGAGAAAAGAGCAAGCTGTTTCAATTGATGCACAAAAGCATTTTTGTATGTTGTGTCTTCATTTCTATTCATTTATATATTTATATATGACATGTAAAATAATAAATCTGTATTTTTATATATAAAAATATATAAAAGCACATTCACAACGTGTGGTTATATAGATTCAGTTGTTCAAGACCTACATGAGAATAACATGGTAAAGTGGAGCAGTCCTTCATTAAATTTAACTTCTAATTAGGAATTTCTGGGAAATTTCTCTGTAGTGAAATTCAGTAATTAGGAAACAGCTAACGTATAAACAAGTTCCTTTGGAAATACTTTTTTTTTTTTAATTCCAAAGCTATTACATTAGTTTTTCTGTCTTGATTATTCTTTTGCCTGGGTATATAACTGCATGCTCTTCTTTAGCATCAGTTGGTGAAAAAAGGAATTAAAAGCTCAAATTTTTAATATATAACACACACTTCTTAATTCCGAGGCAGGAAACAAATAAAGAAGTACTTAAAAGTATCATCTTTTTGTGCATCTTCATTTAAGATGGCATTTAAGCACATGCTTGAATAACTGTTGACTTTAAACATAAATTTAAAATTAAGTAGCTGCTTGAATACTCTCTGCAAGCAGGTTTTTTTTAATGCATTAGATGTTAAACTAGTATGGAGCTAAGTGTTTATGCGCCGTGTGTTAGGCTGATTTTATTCTTGCAAGCCTTTTCAAAGAGATTACAGAAGTCTAATTCAAAATAATTTTGCCCTCTGCGTCTATTTGAACTGACATTTTAGAATGCCAATATGTTTCATAGTTTTGCGATGGTTTTAAGTCATTTTTAATTAAGACAGATTGAACAATTAGTTTTAATGTGGTTATCAACATTTCCGTGTCTGGAATACTATTTGTGCATCGAGAATATATCCTACAAATGAGGCACTGTTTCTGTTCCTTTAGTTCATCTGTGGTACATGTGCCTGGTGTGAACGACATCCAGTCTTCTTCATCAACAGGCCAGAATCTGACACAGATATCTCGCCAGCTAAACCAGAGTCAGGTTGCCTGGACAGGAAATCGCCCACCATTTCCAGGACAGGTATTGATTAAAGGTGTTCTATTTTCATGGTCAGTAAAGATTTGCAATCTCTGTGCTTTTTACAAAAGAATTAGTAAACCCCATTTATAACATGATTAAATGTACTTTGTCATTATCATTTGTGGTTGGAGAGAAATCGGTTCCCCCGCTTCTGTTCCTTGGCAGGTTATAATAATTTGAGACAGCTGCCCGATGTGTAACTGCATTTAGTTTGTAATAGTGTTCATAATAGTGGCAGTCACTACGCTGACATAAATCGCAGTGCAAGGTCTCGGTCCTCCACTTATTTTTATATGTGCACTGAATGAAGTAAAAGAGGACAGCTGTTACACTTTAGTATTAAGCCTGTGAATTAAATCTTTCTTGGACCAAGACCTTGCACCCAGCAATGTTACCCACAGTTAGCAGAGTTACCAGAAAGGGGCACATACAAATCCAGGCATGAATTCAGAGCGGAGGCTACTTAGCCTGTTGCCCCTCCGTTAGCACTGCCCAGTGTAGCTCACGCTGTGTCGTGTGCGGGAGGCAACAGCGCATCCCTCCATCAGGTGCCCTGCGCTTGGCAATGTTAACCCAGAAATCACCTCTTGTTCTGTGTAACAATGAAAAAACTGTTTTGAAACTCTGTTAAAGACAAATAATATGAAATAATCATGTTTGAGCTGTCATTAATGCAGCTCCTAATCACTCTTGACTTTCCATTGTTCAGTAGGCTAGAACGGCATGTTGGGGCGGGCACTAAATAATTTTTCAGTAACTGAATTGTTTCCACATGAATCACTGATTCTTCCCAGCCCTCAGTGTGCCATGGTTATTCTGTCACACCTGTTTAATGAAATCTAGTTGTAACATTAACTTTTTTTTTTAATGATATGGAGGATGCTAAAAATTACTAAAAAAAAAAAAATTACTCATCCCTCTTACTGTCCAAATTCTGTCCAAGTCAACAGAGTTTGTATGTGAGTGTATGGAAATTGGAATTCATTCATCTATCGTAAATAAAGTAAAACAGAGTTAAGCCTTGCAGAAGTGACATGTCACGCTCTCACTCTCATTGTGGAAACCTTTAGAAATGTATGATTTCTTAGGTTGGAACTGAGCTGAAGACTTAATAGCATCTTCATCATGTTATATGCCTGTTGGGATCTGTTTTCCTCCCCCAGCTCCCCTGCATTTGTCCAAGAATTGTAGAATCATAGAATTGTTTAGGTTGGAAAAGACCTTTAAGATCATCAAGTCCAACCATTAACCTAGCACTGCCAAGTCCACCCCTAAACCATGTCCCTAAGCACCACATCTACACGTCTTTTAAATACCTCCAGGGATGGTGACTCAACCACTTCCCTGGGCATCCTAGAAAGAGCCTTATGAAAGAGAAACTGCTCTAAGGCCCACAGTGAAGTGTTATTTTATGCTATGCATATTATCTTTATCATTTTATGTAATATTTTTAGCAACGTGAAATATTGATCTTTATCACTAGACACCAGAAATTCTCCAAGTGTTACTGCGTACAATGCTAGTGGATTAGCTAGCGGATTTGACGACTGGAGGCTGGCCAATGTGACGCCCATCTACAAGAAGGGCCGGAAGGAGGATCCGGGGAACTACAGGCCTGTCAGCCTGACCTCGGTGCCGGG